GGTTGCGTATAATTCCTGAAGTAATTATTTTTATCACGCAAACTACTGATCTGAACTTCGATGCTTGTTAACAGTAAATTGCTGCCGTCTAAAGCTTAATTTACTGATACTTTCCAGTCTGTTTGCAGCACCTATTATAGGCTGTTAGGCCTAGTTTTCTGATCCATTTATGCCTCCAATTTTTGTCTGAAAATTGCATTTGTGATTGGTTTAAATAAAGATTGCCTGATGGATGTACAGTTCAACCGTTTCACAAGCAACACAATCAAAGACTGAGAAACAAAGCAACAAAGGGAGAGAGAGCGCTACAGAGAACCTAAAGATCAAGTGTGAGCGACAGGAAGAAAGAAAAGAGAGGAGAGAAGGAGAGGGATTAGAGGAATCCCCCAGGTAGAGAGATTGTTGTGTCTCATTGTGTAGAACCGCTCCGCTATCTGATGCAGACTCAGCTCTGACACCTGTCACCACTCCTAATGAAACAGCTCCCACAATCCTCTGCTCTCCAATCTTTTGTTCATTCCCGCCCTCCTTTGTGCATGTTTCCCTCTCTTTTTTTTCTTTATTGGTTTGTGGAATTGTGCGTCTTTGTATTCTATATGTAGACCCTATGTGGGGAATGCCTTTGTATGTTTGCTGAGGGATGTGTGTGCGTATCTGTTCCTCAGAGAAATGTTGCGCTGTGCTTTTTAGTCTGACTCTGATGCATCAGCAATAAGGAACAGACCTCAAGAGAGAGAGAAAGAGAGAAAGTGTGTGTGTGTGTGTGTGTGTGTGTGTGTGTTGCTGAAGCAATAGGGACCAGTGAGGGCAGCAGGGAGGCACAGATGTGAAGTGGCATGCATTTGTGTGTGTGGGTATGTGTGTGTTTGTAAAGATTGGAACAGATGCCTGATTGTGGTCCTTATGATGATGACAATGACTCTTGTTTCATCTTGTCCAACCCCAAAATACACTACTTCCCTTTTCTCTTTTTAAGTTTTATTAGATTGGAGCAGGAGTTCATTAGGAGCCAGTCACTATGTATGAATGCTTAAAATTACAACTGTCAGCCTGACTAAATGACAGCCTGCTTTACCGGGCTCCATGGCATCGGCTTGAGCAGTTCTCTGTCTTCTCCCTTTCTGATTTCTTTCCCAATGTTCCCTGTGTGAAGGGGAAAAAAAACCCGTTTGTCCCCGTCTCCTGCAAGGCTTTCAGTAGTATATCCTGTTTGAACCAGCCACACCAAGATGGGGATACTGTGGCCATAAAATGACCACAAATGGTCAGCAGCAATTCATAGTTTACACATGACATCTGAACTACTGGGACACAGCCACCCGGTGGGCAAAAACAGTACTGGAGTCCTTTGCTCTCCAGCCATCATTTGAAGATCTTCAAATTTAACAGATAGTTAAAATGCCAGATAGTTACTGTGCATGATGCACTAATCAACATTTATTTACAGCTGCCAGAAGGCTGTAGAGTATGGCACCAAACTGTGAGCACAATTCTTCGAACCTTGCCTTACAGACCAAATCACACCAGTCCCTGCTTCTCCACAGCATCCCAGGCTGTCAGTGGTGGCTCAGTTATTCTGACATTGGAAAACTACTTGGTCAACTTTACTGTTATCACAAGACAATGTGACAAATTAATGCTACCGGAGCTTATGGCTCTACACTCCAAATGTCCCAGTCAACAAAACTTAACATTTCCGTGTGGTAGTTTGTGTAATCTAGCTACGTAACACTTGCGTTTGCTTTAACGATGAACAATTTCTTGTTCTTTACCTCCCACATGGCGGCGTTATTTACCCATCCAGATCAAATGTATCTGTCATGTAGCCGTGTATGATGAGAAGTTCTCTACAAATACGTAGATGTCACCAAACTGGAGCTTTGGGAAAGACGTCACCAGTTTCAAGGATTTCAATAAAGCTGTCAGGGCAGAATATGACTCACAGTCAACAAAATTCATAGTTTCTCGTCTTGCAGTACTACCAACTGTCCACTATTGGTCATTATGGAGTGATTTTTTGCCCCTTGGGTAGGGAGTCAGTGACATGACTGAAAACTATGGATACCATCCATTAAACAGATAGGCTTTGATGTTTAAGTCATGGTCTCTTGGTACTAAAGGGACCCACAATATGCCCCTTTGCATCCCCCCGACTCTATTATACCAGTACCAGCAACTGAACTATTGATCCAAGGCAGGACGGATCCATGATTTCATGTTATTTACAACAAATTGTCACCCTGCCATCCAAAAATCGTAGTGGAAAATAACAACTGTCTATTGTTAAGTTCAGGTGAAGTTTCCTGTTCTTACCTGATACATGTGGCACCTGGTGGTGTTCCCTTGCTGTAGCCCACCTGCTTTAAGGTCAGATGTGCTGTGTGTTCAGAGACACTCTTCTACATACCTTGGTTGCAACAAGTGGTTCTTTGAGTCACTGTTACCTTTCTTTTTGTTCAAGTCTCATTTGGACTCGAGGATTTTTTTGCCGAGAGAACTGCTGCTAGATATTGCTATATTTTCGGTTCATTCTCTGTAAACCCTAGAGATGGTTGCACAGGTAAATCCCAGTTTTTGAAATACTCAGACCAGCCAACAACCAAAGTCATTTAAATCACCTTTAAATCGCCTTTCTTCCTCATTCTGCCAATCAGCAGGTAGTCTTGACCATGTCTCCATGCCTAAATGTTGCTGCCATGTGATAGGCTGATAAGATATCTCCAAGAAGTAGTTGAATAAGTGTACCTAATATTGTGGCCAGTCAGTGTAAATTATCTTCAGTAAGAACATGTAGCAGACACAGATAATAGAGGTTTGTGCTTAAAATGGCTACTTGTTGTAGTTTGAGAAAGATGTATATGATAACAACCTTGAGTTTACCGGGTGACATTTTTCTTTACGTAAATATTTAGATGATAGAGTGTGCAAAAAGCCCTAACACCATCTGAAAGGAGCACCATAGTCATCACAATCTCCTAGTTCAGTTGTGATGAGTGGGGAACTTAGTTGTAAAAACCGTTGGAAATGTTGACATGTGTTTGTGTGACTAACCTTTAGAGCCAGTCTAAAAGAACTGCAGTTTTTGGCACTTCTGTGGTGGCTTCATTTTTCAGTCACTGGAGATGACTTTGATTAGAAAGTAATTTACAGTACGGGAGAAAAACCAAAACAATTAGCTCCAGCCTGCTAAAAGCTCAGCGCATTTGAATGTAAACACACTTTCTTGCTGTGCGTGACGTTCCCAATAGCACCTAGTCATTTCATTCACTGCAAAATAAATTTTACGGCAGCTTTAAGAGCGTTATTAACGACACAACATAATGCCTTTCAGAGTTACACTGGGAAGCAGTACAGCAGGTCATAATTACTTTATGCTTTCCTCGTTTCTTGTCATCTTCTTTTCTGCATCGTGCAGCTTTCTTGTTCGCTTCTGAGTGTTTTATCCGCTCTTTGGACTCAGGCCATAGAATTTTGAACTACATGTGCGATGAATGCGCTGTAGATTCACTCAGCATAAGCCCGTATGGAGTTGGCGCGAGTCACCTCTGGCTTTGAGTGTGCGCCATATTTTTGTGAAGGGAGCTGAAGAGTCTCTTGGTGCCATTATGTCCAAATTTCTCTCCTCTTTCAGCATCCTCTCTGCCGTTCCCAGGCCAATCTGCAAGTCATTACTGGTGTTCCATTAGACAGTGCCCCAGCACAGAGCAAACTCATACCGAGATTACTCTACAGACATTGAGGCTGCCAGTGTGCTTTCACTTCGACTATTCATCCCCGGTTTAAAATAGCATGCAGCTCCCACTGATTTATCAGCGCACATATAAACGTTTGCCATCCTAATAGAAAAATTATAGCTCGCTCGATGGTGCTTAAACTGGAATAAAATTTCATTTAGACATTGTAGTTGGGTTTTTGGATGGCCTTATTATTGTTTACCCCGATCGCCAGATGAATACCGAACACATTAGAAGGTACAAGTACTTTAAATGTAATTACAGACTTTATGATTTTGCAAAAGCACTTTTTTTAGCCTTTCACACTGCACACAGTGTCTTAACAAGTCAGAGCTTTTTCAGCATGTTAGAACAGTATATTATAGTTGAATCACTTTAGCGTTTTTAACAAGCTGCTTTCATCGGGAAGGAAAGTGTCCTAGTGATGGAACACGTGGCTTAGAAGCAAATGAAGTGGCACCGGTCCTCAAATTTGGATATGATGACATAACTGGATCTCATTTAAACTCAAACTGATAAAAACTAATTGAAATACATACATACAGCCTCACAGTCATGTCCCCTCTGTAATCTGTTAGACCTTTGTGTGTTTTACAGTGCAGCATGGTGGAATTAGTAATGTCCGTGTTCCTGGGAGACGCTGCCTCCGGCTCTCAATTTTGTCCACGCAGAAAGAATTAGAATATCCTTTGGTGGATTCTTTTTCCGGCAAAAACACATGCCTAATATCCATAAAAGCCTCATTAATATGGGGAAGGGGGTTGGTTCCAAAATGGTACTCTTTATGACAAGTAACTGCTACGTTCAATATTCCGTGTTTCATAAATGGTGTGGTGGTGGTGGTGGTGGTGGGAGGAGTTGGATCCTCAGGAGTGTTGGTAATTTGTAAGCGGAGATTTTAGGCTGGTGAATTTTCAGTGAGAACAAAGGAGGCCGCGCTGCATGTGGAATCCTGTCTAATGGGGTTGGGTGCTCTTAGGGAGAAAAAGAAAAGGTTTCATAATTACGGTCATCAGGGAGTTGTGACAGATCCTGATGCCATTTCTAATTCATAGTTTTGATTGCAATAAAGAGTAATTTTCCATATCGTGGATCATGTTCAGTATGTCGTTTTTGGGGAGTTTTTTGCCATTACTTAACAGCTTTTTTTTCTCTGGATCTGTGCAGCAGCAAGGTGTTTCGCCCAGATCTGCAATTTAACTAAAATGTTCTGTCACATTCTCTGCTTATTATTGTCTTTGTAACTCCTTTTTTCCTCACCTCCAGGAGTGCCCTCAGATCCTGCCCTCCACCCAGATCTACATCCCTGCTGGAGTTATGAGGCCGATCACCCTGCTGGCTCAGAACCTGCCCCAGCCTCAGTCTGGACAGAGAAATTACGAGTGCATCTTTCACATCCAGGGCAACACGCACAGCGTCCCGGCTCTGAGGTTTAACAGCACGAGCATACAGTGTCAGAAGACCACGGTAAGCATTGAAGCACACGCACATTCGCATGTGGGGAGGCAAAGTTTCCCAACACTCATTTCTGAACAGCCGTGCTGCTGTAAACCAGCGATGTGGGGCAGGAAGACTGGCAGTAATAGACTGGTAGAGCAGAGAGCTGAACTGAGGCATATGGCCACAGGGACTGACTGTCGCAAAAACCACTCTCTCTTCATTCCCACTCCTCACTCCAGCCTCTTAGCCTTCAGTCAAACTGTCAGCACTAAAAGGGGAGCGACCGCTCCGGCGCTTTTAATTTCCCGGGCTCCAATCAGGGCAGGAGGCAGAGGGGAGGCGTTTTTAACGACACCAATTATGACTTAACTTAACGAGACATATGATTAACATGCAAAGCGCGCGCCGCGGCACTCACTCACTCACGCTGATAGGTCCAATAGCGAGTCCTCTCAGTTAAAAAGGCAGCAGGAGCGGCCGTGTGGCGCTGGCAGCTTTGCGGGGCTGCCTTTTTTTTTGCCTGTCACACACTTGTCAGCGGCTGCGGGTCATTTGCCGACTTCTGCATCACCACTGGGCTCGAAACGAAGACGCTGATTTGCGGTCGCTTGCTGTTTTTGAACTATACAGCATCGCCCACTTTCTCTCCACAAAAGGAAGAGATTGAGCTTCAGTGCTGTGATCCTGGAAATCGGTCTGCCTCTGATGTTGGATGGTGACACAAAAAATAGTTCTGGGGTATAGTATTGAAGTTGATTTGCAGATCGTAATGATGCCTCCTACAGTTCTTTTGTGCTGTGGAAAGGTAATTTGCGCTTATATAGTCACTTGTGTCTCTATAATTGCTTCATGCAAGTGAGGTTCTTTTAGATTTGGCTTTTTGAGTCGTTATTACTGGTTTCTGGCAGATTTGTCCTCGGTGACCCGATAGTTGAAAGCCTATTGAATAGAGCATGAGCAAAAATACTAATTGCTGTGTGTCTGCTTGAATATTTAAATGACCTGGTCAATGTCACAAGCTTTCTTTTGGATTCAAATTCATTTCGAAATTACTTTTACATTTCTTGGAATGAGTTGAGACTTCAATTGTTGACATTATAAGACATTTATATCTAAAAATGTGTTATATGTATAATGGTGATTATTTTTACTTTTCATGTTCAGCTAAATAATAAATATTACCCCACAAAATTCTGTCATCAATATATTAATGAAAAATAAAAAGTAAAATTATTTATTTTTACAGCAGTAATTTGTTTTCAGAGGATTAATGATACAAGATTCAACATCGAGCTAGGGTAGCTAAGCCAGACATTTGGTTGGTATCAAAATCTGCATTTGTAACTCCATCATTTAAAAAAAAAAAATTCCCAACACCAACAACTGAAATGCATCACAAACCAGGACAGAGCTTTCACTGTGCTTTACAGATGCCTATAGATGCTCACTGTTGTACCTCTGTCCTGAACTCCTCCGTTTATTTCTGGATTCACTACCACTTGCCACTCATTTTCAGTTCAGTTCTGTGATTAAAGAAAACAAAAGAAAGAAACTGAAGAAAATGAAAGAAAAAGCAGGCAGTGTCCAAAGAAAACCTTCAAAGGACCTTCAGAGAATCTGGAGAACTATTGATCAAAACATCTTTAAAATTTACACAAAAAAGTCCGGCTCCAAGGAAGGAAAGGAAATGAGGCGTGGCTCAAGACTTTTACACAGCACCAAATACATTTTACATTACCTTTTTTATTGAACATAATATTTCTATCAAATGCAGTGGATACAGATTGTTTACAGCCTGTTTCATGGTTATTAAATGTAAGTATTTAGCATATATAAACATGTAATTTAGGCCTTGTAGTTAATATATTTTCAAACGTTTAAGTATTCTCACATAACAATTATGACTTTTGATGTTTGAGTTTATCTGCTGTCACCATGAAATTACTTGGCTGGTTAGTGTGTAACATGCTGTTGCTAAACAGGTTTGCCTTATTAGTATCTTTAAATTTGTTTCCCTGTTATCACCGTGTGTTACTGGCCATTTGTCCATAAATTTCAGTCTAATATTACCTTTACCTAATGTCCCGAGCTATTACTTGGTTAGTACTTGGGTAATTGCCTGGTACACACTTCAACTTTTGACCCCACTATTTTCACATTTTTAGCTCTAATAAACATCGCTGCTCTTTGTTGTTCAAATAGGATGGATATCTGTTATGGTTTTTCTGTTCACTCTGTGTTCTGAAAGCCTCCCACACCTCTGAAACCAGCACTTACTCCGGGAAATAGCAGTTTGCATCCCTAGTGTTTGATAGACTCGGATACATTCATTACTACACCACTACTGCTGCTGCTGAGAGTTGCTGATTCTGGAGGACAGAGACCTTTCCTCAGCAAAACTATGATTCACTGGCAAAACCACATGGATATACACACACACGCGCGCAAACATACACACAAGTAACGCTTATCCACATGCATTTATTTTTTCACTCCTCGGTGCACTTTAATGTGTTGTAAAAATCTCAATGTTATCTCTGGAAGAGTCAGGAAGCATAGTAAAATACAGGTCTCAACACAACTTTGCAGCTGTTGATGAAGCTAGACATAGGAGGCCGAAATGTGTGTGTGTGTGTGTGTGTGTGTGTGCGCGCCTAGTGAGGAATCCTCCGTTTCTCCACCTCCCCCCCGCCTCTCAGCTCGTCAGGTGGGACTGTGATAGGATCCAATTAAGGGAGCTGTAGATAAAATGATGATGAATTGCAGTGGTGCGGTAGACTGACGGACACAAACATACGCACACACTCAAACACACATGCGCCGGCCCGGCAAATGGAAAAAGAAGGAAGCAAAAAGACAAAGAATGAGGGAGCCAAAGAGGAGGTGAGGGAATTAGGGGGAGACAATGACGATGCAACAAAGAGTTTGATGGAGGAAGTGAAAAGAGGGGAGCGAGAAGAATAAAGAGAGACAGAGGACTAAGCTCAGCACGCAGACTAAAGGGAAACAAACAAATGAGGGAGAAACAGATGGAGACAGGATGTATTTGGAATATAAAAGATGTGCATGTTTGAGAAAGTAATTCTGAAAGAAAAGGAAATCATGAGGCGTGAAAAAGTGAAACTGCTGAGAGTAACTAGAACACCAGAAGGTGGAAGGACATTTGGGACAATAGGGATTGGTTACAAACTTGTTCAGCCATGCAGGGCTGGTTTTCAGACATATCTATTCAGCTCAACAGTACTGTACTCACACAGCTGTGTTAACTGTTTAAGGAGCTGTGGCAGTTTAAACGTCGCAAACTTGCTTTGACAAAATAAGTCATTGCAAAACTGGTATGGCAAACTATATATAGTCTCAGTAAAATATCTGCATGCTTACACTCTTAGATATAGATATAAAGGACAGCCTTCAGTCTTCCTGATCCTTTTGTTCTTCAGTTGCCCGCTGGGTTTTCTCCAGCTTCCTCCTACAGTCCAAAGACATGCATGTTAGGTTAGTTATTGATTTGAAGTTGACTGTAGCTCCCGATTTAAGATACAGAGAGCTCTGAGTTGTTTTTAGCTTTACAAAATCCAGTCTATTCCCATGTGAGTGTAGATTGAATTGATCAGTTGTTCTACGATGATATTCACATTTACAAACTGCAATTACAATTGCAAAGCAAAAGCAGTGCCAATACCCTCTGTTAGTGTTACAATGGCAGTACCAGCATGGCAATCACTGATTTTTCTTAGTCGCAAAGAAGTTGCTGTCCTGTTTTTCTTGTGTGACTGAGGAGTTTCAGGGTACTGCACCAGTGGCAAGCCATCTCATTACTAAAGGTACAGCTGATTAATGCACAGGGGCTGAACCAAAACAGAAGCGTTCCCCAGCATAGAACTAAAACAACATGCTGAAAGACAGTAAAAAGGCTCAGCTAAAGTGCACATAACTGGGGAGATCTGTGGCTTTCCTTCACAACACATAAAGTCATTTGATATATTTTAATAATGAAATATGTCGTGGTACAACATTCATGAAATTTATAACTTTTAAACACACAGGTGTTGTCTTTGTTCCAGGTTTAAATGTGTGTGGGGTTTGCTTTACTGTGATTGCATAGAAAAAAATGAGAATGGAAACATAAATAGAGAGAATCACCAAACAGAAGATCTATCTGTGATTGAGAACCTGCACTCCGGCTAGCATTGTCTCCAGTATTCTCTGTAGGGATTTTGTGTATATGTATCACAGCTGGCTGTGACTGGGGTAGTAGAGGGTAATAAATCACAGAGAAAATTAGCCAGCAGTAGATGTACACTCATCCATTCAATCTTACTGTCTCTTTGTGCATTATTTAGCCCCTCACCAAACACTGAAACATTGAACTTGCATACTCAAATACATGAGGGACCTGCAGTATGCGTTGGTGCACACTGAAATATTCACAGGAAAACACATGGTGGCGTGCACATTCGCACACAGGTGCAATGCATGCAGGCTGCGAGGATACCTACTGGTTTGTTCATGGGCAAACACACACACACCCACGCATGCACACACAGAGCCTCCCCAGGGGTTTGCAAGCCTAACGTGAAGCAGACATATGGAGATTCTCCACATGATCCTCTTCCTAATCATGTGGAGCAGACAGAGACTGTAGCATCAGCAACAACCAGCAACCTGCTTTACATGATTTATTACACTGACACACATAGGCTATCAAATGTTGTGTGTGTATAGCTGTGTGTATTATCTTCCTGCTATAAGTATATGCATCTGGCACAGTTCTGAGCAGCACAGTAAATTTTGGGAGGATGACAGACTGTGTTCAACTTGAATGTTCACGGTCCACAAATTGGGCTAGCCGTAAGAGAGGGGGAGACTTTTCCTAACTTTCCCAAACCTGTTATAGAGTGCACAGCTAATACCTTTGCAGTGCAATGTAGTGTAATGATTTCGTCCTGCAGTGGTTTATCGTAAAAATATTTTTGAAATGCAACTAATTTGCTAAGCTAATCACATTTTGGAAAAGTAATGGGTGT